AACCCAAACTCATGGGAGCCAAATCTTGATCACCCAAACCAGATATGAGCTCTGTAAACTGACTTCTAACACCTCTTAGAAGCTCCATTACAGCACTGTTGTGAACACAATCGATTTTCTGTACAAGTTAACACTTTCATTACAAAAAAACCACACAACAGAACCAAAAGTGTTGTAGTAATGGAAAGTGAAACAAAATACAAACCAGCTTCTCCTTGATCACATTTCCAAGCTTCGAGTCAGCCACAGCTAAGGTTTCACCTTGACAGTTGGCTTTCAAGAATTTGCGGAGACCTTTGCCTGGAGTTCCCTCCACCAATTTAGCTACAGCTTCGAGAGCTTCTGATGTGTTATCAAACTTGTCGAAAGCTTTCAGCTTAACCATCTGGTACACCAAAAACGTATATGAGAAATCTAATTTCAAAAAGTACCTGAAACATCTAGATTAAAGAAGAAAAAAAATTTAACCTTTCGAGCTAAGTCTGGGGAGGAGAACTCTTTGCCCAAATTCTGCAGACATTGGTGACTGTTAGAACAAGAGAACAATAGATAATACTCTCTCAAGGTTGAGAAAAGAACCAAAACAAAACATAACTCACCTCAACGTCAGTCAATTTTCCTTCATTTAGTACTTTAAAAATGCCAAAACCAGCAGCCGTCTCGTACAGTACAAGCATCTTTACAAATCTTTCAAGTTACTACCTGAAGAGACATTAAGACAACACTTGAGTCAGTTGATATTTATAATTATCACTGATTGAATCAAGCTACAGAGGAAAGTTGCATAACAGAGTCACGCTAACGAACTACCTACACTACGCAAATTTATAATTACCACTGATTAAATTTGAAAGTTGACGTTTTGAGAACAGAATCTACCTGTTGATATCTTTTGGGTTTAGGGTTTTTGAAGGAGATGAGTTGTTTTTGTTTGTTTCGCTTCTCTCTCTCTGAAGGAGGTGAGTAATGGCGTCAAAACTAGGGTTTAGGGTTGGGTTTTTGAAGGAAATGAGTATGTAAATTACGAATTTATCCTCTCACATGAAACGGCCCATGCCGATAATATACATATATATGGGCTTAGAAATACTGATAGGTTTGGCCCAAATATGGTGAATGTTTTAAAGTCTTGGTCATTTGCAATTTGCAACCGAGTTTTTCTTGAGTTTCTTGTAAATATCCCTTTGGATTCAATTTCTTTAGGATGGTCCGAACAATAATCATGTTTATGTATACAAATTTTGCTTCCCTCAGTTTTTGTTTGTGTTCATAGGAACTTGTACCAACCTTATTTTTCTAACAACAAATATTTGTATCAAATCTGATATTGAATTTAATGACTTTTAGCTGTCTACATCAAAATTGTGCCAGACAATAAACATGCATAAATCAATACTCGGCTTAGTCAATAAAGAAAAGTACAAGATCATAAAAATGATATTCCACCAACAAATCCCTTATATTTTAACTATAAAACATATGTATATGGTGGATCTACAGACACGTTTAGAAGAAACTATTTAGTAACGAATTTTTCTAATCCGAATACGAAATTTTATTTAATTACTTCTTGTTCCCAGAAATGATATAATTAATTAAACATGCATTAAGAAAAATTTAAAAAACTAAATTAAAGAAAAGTAATTCCAAAATTAATCATCTAGTACAAAAGGATTTAATTTCACATGGCGTATTCATCCTTCAAAATCAAAATGATGATTTCAGACAATCTAAGTAACCTTAAACACCTAATTCTTATAAAATGCACTTAAACAAAATCTTACACTCGAAGAGATTTCTCAAAATGTTTGTTTTCTCCCTCAGTCCTTGG